ATTTCTCAAGGGTAGTGGTTATAGCGAAAGTGGTGGCTACGCTGGCCATGTCGGTTAGGAACCTTTGTAAAGTACCTCTAGATCGAGTCGTTAGTTAGGCAGCCGCCAGAGTTCTCTTTGAAGCTATTCAGAGATCGATATAAAAGGCGTTGTATGGCGTGAGTGTTGATGGGTGGAAGTCTTAGGTTTGGTGAAAAGGATGGTTAAATGAAACTCTGCTACGCAATTTTCACTGATCGCCTACCCAATCAAATAGGGCTTGCCTCTTTGGGTTAGAGCTAATTTACTCAGGGGTTTTGGGGTTGGGAGGTGGGGTGTAATTAACGGTCTGAGGTCATCAGGGGTCCACAAGGGTATTTTACACTTTTTCCTGGGAATGACAGTCGCACCCAGACCACCTGTTTACACATGATTGGATGTTCTCGAAATGCTGCCTATTGTGGCACTAGGTATTGGGTGACAAGTGATGTTGACCGCAATCTTACACGTTCCCTAAGAACCAGCCTTTGGAACAGTTGTGAAATACAGGAGACCTACCAACGACGCTTACAGTTCATGTGGCTTTCTGGTCTTCTAATTCTACAGTTCTCAACTCACGATTGATACATTTCGACATGTCTGTAAAGGTCCTCACCGTGGAGGCTGCCGTTGAAGCCGTCGAGAACTTGAAAGGCACATCACCTAACGTTGACAAGAGCTTCTTTGACGTATTTGGCACATCAGGCTGCTCCTTGAACTGTCACCTAGAAAAACGCCGCAAGGGACACCAAGGAAACAACCTGAGAAAAGTGTGGTTTTCCGATGCCGACCTTGAGAAATCAATCTCAAGTGGCTGTGAATCATGCAACGTGCTCAACTCGATCATCCAAGAATCATTCTCAAGGAGCCCGCATCCTAAAGCATCGACCAATAGATACCAAATCACTCGGGATTTCCAGCTACAACGTCGTGTTATCATCAAGGGTAAAACAAAAAAGCATAAAAATAAGGATGACAGGAAAGGGAATAAAACGGAGATAATTCAATTATTTCAACCTCCAGGTATGTACCCTTGTTTACTTTGGAGAATATAGTCTAATAATGCGAAGGAGCTGGCGTTGTTTTTCACAGATTCTGCAGCTCTACTTTCCTCGGAAGCGTTGAATTATCATTCACACGATTGAAGGAATGGATCAAAGAGTGTTCAAGCACCCATGAAAAATGCAAAATGCACAATAGCTTACCAATCGATGACCGTGGTCCTGCTCGGCTGCTAGATCTCATCGATATTCGAAGAAACGGTGTTCAAGGTATCAAAATTATCGATTCCAACCCTAATGAAACGTACCAGTACGCCTGCCTTAGCCACCGCTGGGATTCCCAACTCAAGGCTATCTCGACAACGACCAGTAATCTTCCAGAGCGGAAAGCCTTCATCGAACTAAGCATCCTACCTAAAAACCTCCGTGACGGCGTGGAGATTACACGGACTCTTGGTATTCGATATCTATGGATCGATTCTTTATGCATTATCCAAAAAGGAGACAACGATATAGATAAGCAGAATCAAATGGCAAATATGGGATACATTTACCGACGCGCCTATATTGTTATTGCTGCAGTCTCTTCAGACAGATCCGACGGCGGTTGCTTTATTGAAAAGAACCGCAAGCAGCCTGATATCTGCTTTGAAGTTACTGATGTGACCAACAAATCTCACCTGATTGGAGCTCGTGTCCTTGATATGAGAGGGCCATCGCGCTCAATTATCGATCTTGAATACCATTTTCCGCTACTGAGTCGCGGCTGGTGTTTTCAGGAACGTGTTCTATCGAAACGGCTTTTAGAGTGCACCTACGCCGAGTTTACTTTTGAATGCCTTGAAAGCTCGCACTGCGAGTGCGAGTCCAGCATAGCGCCGCATCCGCCTCCGACTCTGCCAGTTGGTAGATTAGATCCCGATGACCGTATGCGGTTGACTGACAGGACAACAACGATAGACAAACAGAGAGCCCGTGATATCTGGAGGACGATTGTCCATAAATACATGACCCTCGATCTAAGTCGTTCTTTCGACTCGCTGCCTGCGATTGCTGGTTTTGCGAGTGCACTGGAACCACATATCAAAAGTCCATATGCAGCAGGCCTGTGGACCGAAATGCTGCACGTTGATATGCTCTGGTACATGGAACCGGAGTCTAAAAGGAGTTTTAAAGGACGAACTGTTTTTAAGTGGAAATATAGACGGGGCCTAAAAGCACGACTGATTTCGAAATCGGATTCGGAAGGTATAATGCCGCCGTCGTGGTCCTGGGCATCAATACAAAACGGACAGAGCCTGAAATTTACTGATTATCTCTCAACAGATGGTGGCACGAAAGAATTCCTCTTGAGAGGCAGAATCAAAGAGGTGAAATGCGAGCTAAAGTCATCAGCCAACCCTTTTGGAGAATTGAAAGGAGGCTATATGAAACTTGAAGCAACACTATATCCATGGTATATTCGCAGGTTCTGCCGAAGGATTCGGGATCACGAGTATCTTCAACGTAAAAGGCACGCGCCTTTTACCATCCATCTAGAGCAGGAGCATATTGACCCAGAGCGATCGTCCATGGAATGTAGTCCCAACATACCAGAGCTTAAAGTTGACAACGCATTTCTTCAATTTTACCCCGACACGAACTTGATGGAATTAACCTTCGATGACTTCTGTGATGATGAAAAGCGAGCTTGTGGGCTCTCAAAAATCTATCTATTGCAGTCACTTCATGTGAAGAAGCTTGGGAGTATCAAGGATATCTTTCTCGTATTGCAACCGATATCGCCTGTACAGAGCAAGGCAAAGTGCTACCGGCGGATAGGAATGATGAACCTGGAATGGAATGAAAGTAGCGAAAAAGGAAATGAGAAAACCTGGCACGAGAGGGTTGAGAGTCAGTTAATTGAGAGACATCTGGCACCTCAGACGGAAGAATTTTGGATATTTTGATGTCGACAAGCTAAAGAGATCTAGGAGTTATTTGTACACATTCTATGACATATATCCAAACTGGCTTTTAGTGAGCTTGGACGATACAGTACACGAACTACTATTTGGTCCATTTTCTACAATACATATCTGTTCTTCACTCCGCAGCTCTTTTTGGAGCCTTTTTTTTTTATCTAAACTAGACTTTCAAGTCATAAGGACAGTCACACTTGCCAGAATACGCTTTTCAAGATTGATTATAACAGGTCAGCAACGCTATCAAGGGATAGTAAAAACCACTAAGTTACTATAGACTGCCGAAAGGAGGGTTACATTCTACGCAGTACTACCATTATCATATCGCGAACCCGTGCTGGCCCAAGAGCACAGCGAATCTCCTTACCATTAGTAATGCTGAGCTGCGACCACCTTTATCCGAGCCAATCGCTAGTTGTCTGACCATGAGTGGACTTACGTACTGTGAAGTGCAAATGCTATAACTAGACTTATGAGGATGCGCTGTAACAATGATGGCCAATAGGCAGCCGCAGCAGCTTACTTGCGAGGAGAAAGAAGATCTTGGCCGCCCACTGACATCTCTTGTCCTAGAGCTGCTCTGGTTTCGACAACGAACGCAATCACTCAATTTGACCATCCCATTCTTCTTTCACGCAGGCGAAACACTTGGTAGCGGGAACGACACAGACTTGAACCTGTTCGACGCGATGGTTCTACCGGATAACCGCAGAATTGGGCACGGCTTTTCCTTCTTACATCATCCACTGCCCGCCATGATTGCCCACGGTGTTCCGACATCTATCAGTAATGATGATCCAGCTATTGTGGGTCAGGATTCTCTAGGTCTCAGCTTTGACTTCTACTAAACGATTCAGGGGTTTGAAAACTTGGGCTGAGGTGGTCTGGTGAGTGTCCAATGCTCCACTACACAAACTTGAGTTTTCTTTATCGCTAGAGTTATTCCCTGTTTCACGTCATCGAAAGTAATCATAATAATTAGACTACATCGATGTTATGGAATCTTATATTGACAATTACTAATCGTTTCTTCATATTCAGGGTGCACTTGCACAGAATTCTGTTCGCTGGTCCAACTTCGAGGACCAATCACAGGAAGATTGGTTGATCGATATCGAACTGGGAGCTAACGGCACATGTATCAAAGCGGAGCGCATTCGAGAATGGAATGCGAAATGGGAAGCATATTGCCAGTGGATTATAGATGAGTATGGTGAAAGGTATGGTAATTCGACAGCAAATTCAAGTGACGCATAGATAATTTCAGATGATGGTGGCCTTTGCGGGTAACCCCCCTTTGTGACCGACTCAACTTCGGCTTGGCAATTTGAAGAGATAGTATCTAGACGGGTCGCTCAGCATTTTCTGGTATTATCATTCCATATTATGGTTGAAGAAGACTGATATCTGGACCACAAACAAAAAACGAGATGAGTAGATGTTGGGATTCACGCAGTATTGTGGTGTTTTTTAACAAACCAGCCCCCTAAACAATCAGTGATTAGAGTACAGTAAAATGTTCTCTATAACCTAGGGCCAGATTAACCACGGCCAACACATTATTAGAGAGATCCTAGTATCACCAGAGGCGTGATAATTTATCAGGGACTTTATCCGCTGCAGATTGGAGGCACATATCATAAATCATCCCAGGGCAATCACCCACGTTTGTAGCAGGCTCGCCAATAGCTCAAGGTCTGAAATGGAAGTTATCGAAGTCTACACAGCCTCTTCTCACAACAACGTTCATTACCAACAGACCCGACGGATATATTGGATAAGGTTGCACTTCCCTGATAGTGTAGGCATCCATATGATCGCCTTTTAAAGGACAGACAACCGCCATTGCCGAATCCTCAAATTATCATTTGGATCATTGAATAAACAGATATTTGTGTTGTGCTTGTCCGATTCGAGTTTTTTTTTCCATGGGATACTGAAAAGTGCGAGGTCTTCGGATCACTCACAATCTAGCAACTAGGAACTGAAGACGGCCTTACCTCGTGAAGAAAGCGAAATGGCGCTGTCTCATCTACGTTCACCAGAAGAGTTAGCAAGATGCCTTCTCGAGAATGACCGCCGACCAGACCCTGATCACACTCTTGCCGCGATCAAACACCGTCAGCGCCTCCTCAGATCCTGGGGCATTTCCCACGGCGCCACCATCCTCGAAATTGGCTGTGGGCAAGGCGACTGCACAGTCGTACTCGCCGATGCTGTAGGCGACGAAGGTCTCGTCGTGGGAATCGACCCTGCGCCGGACGATTACGGTATACCCTCTTTAGGCCGCGCCCACAAGCACGTTAAGGCATCCGTGGTCGGGAAGCAGATTCAGTTTATCCGGTCCGATGCTGTGAGCTATCTTACCTCACCGACCGGTGTCACTCGTTTCGACTTCATTGTCCTCTGTCACTGCATCTGGTACCTATCCGAACCCAGCAAGCTTGCCGAGATTTTCGATCTCGCACGTAGCCATGCTCGCACCCAGACCATTCTTCTCGCTGAATTTGGAATGGCTGCCTCGGTACCAGCTGCCGTGCCCCATGTGCTAGTGGCGTGTGCGGTCAACGCCCTGGAGAGCGTACTCACTACAGAGACACTTCGCAATATGCATTGCGTAACTACGCCCAGACAGATCGCTGATGCCGCCGAGAGGGGTGGCTGGATAGTGAAGGAGGAAGACTTGCTGGTGCCTGAGGCAGAGCAGCGTGACGGCTGGCGCGAAGTTGTCATGGTTCTTGAGAAGCCACATAGACAGGTGTACGAAAATGATGTGGAGAGCCTAGGCGTTAGCGAGAAGATCAAGAGCATGCTGCTTGCTGCGAGGGATGCGGTGGAAGAAAGTGTTCGCAGACTTGATGGTGGCCTCGCAAAAGTAAGAAACATGGACGTCTGGGTCGTACGGTTCAACCTCGCTCAGTAGTTTCTTGAGATTCTTTCCCATTTCAGGTTTCATTTGTGCCTACGGCTATATTAATCCCAATAAAAGAGCCGTCCGTTTGGGATATTCCTGATCACGAGCTACATAACTCCTAGATACCAAGGATCTATTTATGAATGGTGACGTAGAAGTATCCCGTACTCCGTCAAAGCGACTTGATTGCTACATTATGACACAACTACAACAAGAAGAGCTGTTAGAACTATAAGATGTTCCACCACTCCCTCCTCCTCCACCTTCACCTTGTTGGCCGCTATCCGCACAGTCCGTCGACGTACTAGCTACATATTCCATAGTCGTAGCGACTACATATGGATCCATCGCAGTTGTGCTTGTCACCGGAAGGCCCTTGCCATAGCACACCAGCTCTACGCTTCCTATATCTGCACCCGTCGAGTAGGCAAGACACTGATCCGTCCTGCCGGTCACGTCGAGCCTCTGTATTGACCTCTTTCTCGTGCTTGAGTCCGTGCAGTCAGAGCTATCAGACACGAGAAGTATCGGGTTACCGCCGTCGTCGCAGGTTGGGAGGTCTTCGAGAGACACTGCTTTGATACCTGGGAATGGAACCGATAGGCATTCGCCTACTACTAGCGGCGTGGGGTTGTCGGTGAATTCATAGTTGCACGCAGCATCTTGGTAGAGGTAGATGTAACCTTGCGAAGGGGTGTTCGTCTGGGTTGGGGCACCCCCGAAGAGAGTTGTCGATGGTAGCTGCCGCGGTAGCTGAGGCATGTCCGAAGAAGACAAGGTGCTCTCGACGGATGCGGAGGTACAGGCACCCTCTGCCTAGGACATCGAGTTAAACAACAGAGCGAAGAATTACTTGGGAGCATCACAAATAGAGGCCACCCCTCTTGTTCTTCTTTATCCAACTTTCCTCCTCATACGGCTATTGGTAGCCTTATCTTCTAAGATATGACAGTTGTTGTTGCCGATCATTCGGTGTGGTAACGGGCCACACCGACGGCCGCCAATCACGATACCTGCACCCTCATGCACGATCCTTGGGCAAGGCTCTCCCCATATGTGACAACAAATCGCCTCCCTCTGTTATCAATTCATATTGCTTTTAATCGACACCCTGCAAGGCAGACTCCAGGCAGCTCAGGCCTTGGGCACCAACCCGCACCAATACGACTCATTGAGTTGCACAGCTTTTGCGCCAAGTTTAACAACTCTTCAACTCACGCGGTTGGGGATGGCATCAATGTTAGCAGTTGTGATACTACTGCTTGCCCGGCCCAGTGCAGCGGGAACTGATCCATCTGGTGCAGTCAAATTATTCAGCGACAATGGCTGCGCTCAAGCCGTCAAGAGCCTATCAGCACTATCGGTGAACTCTTGCTTCAATACTGGCCAGACTTTGGCAATATCTGTCGAGAAATTCCCCCATTGTACCGACGGCCAAGCAAGTCTATATATCTCGGATCAGAAGCAATGCGGGCGCCCCAGTATCTGGCCCATGAGCAGTACTAGCATGATTGGGGAATGCCTATCATTTCCGACCGGAGCTGAGATTGGATCTGCTGCTTTTCAATGTTCAAGTAACGATGACGATACCGCGTCCACGGCGAAAAGTAGTTCTTCCGTTGCAGTCCCAAAAGCATCGCAAGTGTTTGGCTCCGAGTCTCCTACGCCAACGCCCTCAGGAGGCATCACTTCAACAGAAGTCCCACTGGCGACTGCGACAACAGCGCCAACCAAGGACGGCGGTCTCGACGAGGGCGACAAGATCGGAATGGCTGTCGGTCTTTCTCTCGGTATCGCGGGCTTGATAATCGCTATGATCACGCTCAAGTACACGCGACAGGCAGCTGTCAGTATGGGAGAGCCGCCGCCGGCGTATTCGAGATATCCACCGCAAAGATACTGATGTCTTTCCCGGTTCTGTTGACCACTTTTTGGCTTTCCCATTGCATCTGCATGATGTTTCCCTAGAAGCGTGGAGGTCTCGCTGATTTCGTTTGACAACACCTGAAACAAATTGGCGGCGGGTCAGTATCTTACCACACATGAATATAGAGACAGAACAAGATCATAATTCAACGACTCACATGTATCCATGCCTGCATCAGACATCTCGGCCCCAAGTGTTACTCGTCTCCGCGCCACTGGTAGCCTTACAAACTTCGAGTTATGATCCTGTCAGAGCCTGCATCGATAGTGCCTTCGTGTGCACGTGAGACCAGCTGGCCTAAACCAGTCATTGAGGCGACGATGGACGGGATCTGAGCAAACTTAGATCTCAGTATCATCCTCACAGATCTCAAGTGTTTCTAGCTTGGTACCAGCCCGTGACAAGCGATCCGCGTTGTACGTCTGCCAATAATCCTTCCGGGCTTGTTCGGCATCTTTGCCCTTCCACGTTCGCCCTTGCAGATGCCTTAGACACAGCCTCTTGCCATCGTCGGGATAATACAGCCAGCAGGCCCACTTGTGCCAGTTGCCGTCCTTCATCTGGTGCCTTGCCCTCTGGCCGATTGTGTCTTCGATGAAGGCGCCGCGGGGCATGGCGAGGCGGGACGGGAAGGCTCTGGCTAGGTAATGAGCCGCGCATGCAATATGAGGCTTGTCGTGCCAGAAGAATATGGGAGTCAGCGGGATGCGCACTTCAGGTCGCGATTTCACGGCGAACTCCCGCCTGAGGGAGATCGTCAGGGCCTTCAGGGCCGGGAAGTCCATGGCGTTGACTGTCTCGGCGTAGGACAGCATGCGAACGGAAGGAAAGCACACGTAGTTGACGGGCAGAGTCTTGTCGCTCTTCGAGTCCTGCATCACCTCGAGCAAACCATCCACTGGGATGTCTGCCAGGAGTGCCCAGTCATGCTGATGGATCCAAACGTACGGCGTTTCCAGCATTCTGAGCGCAGACCGAACAGCCAAGCCAAAGCCGAGACGCGCTGATGGCTCGATGAACGTGACATGCTTGTCAGCGGTCCATGATGTCTTGAAAGCCACGACATTTGAGGCGATCATGGGCGAGCCGTACTCAGCCTCGCCTTGCCCCTGTTGTAGAGCGCCAGGTTCCTCGCGAGGCGCAAACTGTGACAAGATGAAGTCTTTGACATTTTCCTTGTAGATGTCATAGTTCTTCGCGACCTCTTGGGTCACCTGACCTTTCTTCAAACGCGCCTTGGGCACGACGTGATCGTAGGAGTCGAAGATGACAATGACACGGCAGGCGAGCAGGACGGGACAGTGCTTACGGAACGAGGCCACAACCAGCGACACAAGGTCGATTGAAGGCGCCGACGGCGTCGGAGACGTCGTGATGACCACAGTCAGACTCTCGGGCACTACAGTCGTCGCCGTCATTGCCCTGCTCGGCAAGTCTACAGTGCCGTAACTGGGCAGTGGTACACGGGACACACAGCCTGAACGCGTCGCGGGAAGAAATTTCGCTGTGCAAAACAAACAATTTTAGTGGGGTGGGTGGCAGCTTGAGGACCTCGCCAGCCCACTAACCAGGAACGCTGTCTCTCGTTCTATTTTCAAAGAAAACAACACCATCGATGGAATATGAAGTGTCGTGTCCATCCAGTCTTGATGCCAAAATCACCTTACGCACCAGAAACGGTTATAAGGGCATCTAGCACAACCAGACATCCCAGTTGCCTATGTTGAATCAGCCTCTGGTATACAATACACGAATTGCAGCAACAGATCAAGCTTATCCGATCCTCCTTTTCGTCGCACTCTCGGGCACAACCAAGCAGTTTGACCACAGAGAGACGCCAAATGTTTACACAGACTTCCATCGTTGCCTTTCATCATGCTCTTCTCTGCTGTCGCAAAAGGATTAAAGCTATGCTCTTTGCAAAGGCGTCGCTTGTAGTGCAAGCCGGACTGATAGACCTTTCGCCACGTGTGAACATCCAGATCTTATCTTATTGACGCGGCTCACATACCGGTTAATATGCGAGGATGCACGCGGGCTTCGCTGCATGGTAGTGTACCTTAATAACTAAAGTTGGGGAAGAGGACCATCAAGTGACACCATTCACTGCCGTTTTGTTCCCTCACTCGCACGGGTATGCGAGCTGAAGTGCAGGCTTGGTAGAGCGAGTTACCGAGGAGGCGAAGAACATCCCCACCGTTCAGGGATTCCCCAACGCCTTCGCAGCGTGAGACAGCATTCGATGAGGGGTGCGTGCCTTAGTGGAGGCAAACCCGTCGAGCCGGGCAGGATAAATTGCCCTGAAGCTTGGCCACGCCGACAATTACAGCCGTACTTTAACCGCTCGATGGTGATTAGGCAATCGCTCGTCCCACGATGCATCTAAACCATCTCGAGGCCGGGGTAGACGTCTGTCCGCTGCGGGGACAATGGCTACGCCTCAGGTTCGTTAGGATGTTCTCTTGTTTTTCCGTAATCATGGACTCTCTACCACGCGTCGCCTAACGTGCTGTATGAGCGTGATGTTCGGCTCCGCACCTTGACCTCGACACCCTGAGCTTAGCCCCGTCTATTCAGAGATCGCGGTTCGCCCATATCCGGGGCAATGGGACCTCCAAGACCGGGTAATCAGCCCCTGGCAGAGTTCATCTTGGGTACAATGCAATGCAATGCGACTCTCGCCGTCATGACCCAAGAGCCAACAATAGGCTCTCTCTCCTGATCCCCAGGTTGGGGTAACGGCATGAGGTTGGGTTGCATCCTGCTTCGTCGACCCCCAGACAGATTAATAGCCATTGGTTCCCCCTCCTCCCCAGCAGATATTCTTTGCCTTCGCTCGCCAGCTGGACTTCCTTCACTCGGCGTGATCCAAGCAAGTTGCCAGTATGCATGTGAAGTCTCTCACCGTCCCGCTCCTGGCGGCTTCCCTGCCATTGGTGTCTGGCCAGCTCGACACCTGGGCAAAGAAAGCCGGTCTGAAATACTTTGGCTCAGCAACCGACTCGCCAGGGCAGCGCGAGCGTGCCGGCCTTGAGGCATCTTACCCTCAATACGATGCCATCATGAGAGACACGGCAGAGTTCGGCCAAACCACGCCGACCAATGGCATGAAGGTCTGCTTTTCCTCTTCGCGGCCTCCCTCTAGATAATGATTTGTACAAGTACTGAGCTGTGTATAGTGGCTCTTCACTGAGCCTGAGCAAGGCGTGTTCAACTACACCGAAGGCGAGATCGTCGCTTCCATTGCCCGGGAGACCGGCGACTACCTCCGTTGTCATGCTCTGGTGTGGCATAGCCAGCTGGCGCCGTGGGTCGAGAACCAGACGTGGACACCAGACGCCATGCGATCCTTCATCACCGAGCACATCACCCATGTTGCCGGCCACTGGAAGGGGCAGTGCTACGCATGGGACGTGGTCAATGAGGCGCTCAACGAAGACGGCACATACCGCGAGTCAATCTTCTACACCACCCTCGGTGAGGAGTACATCAAGCTGGCGTTCAAGGTCGCGCACGAGACCGACCCCCATGCCAAGCTGTACTACAACGATTACAACTTGGAATCGGTCGGCCCAAAGAGCGAGGCTGCAAGGAACATTGTCAAGATGCTGAAGGCCGAGGGCATCCAGATCGATGGTGTGGGAATGCAGGCGCATTTCGTAGCGCACAGTGCCCCGAGCCTCGACCAGCAGATTGCAGTCATCAAATCGTATGCCGAGCTTGGTGTCGAAGTCGCTTATACGGAGCTTGACGTGAGAATCGAGCTGCCCTTAAACGAGACGAACCTAGAGTGGCAGAAGGAAGTGTATAGAGATGTAAGTCGAACATCGATCAATATCATGTTGAGCTTATACTGATTTACAATCACAGTCCTGCGGTGCATGTGCGCAGACCGACGGTTGTATTGGGCTGACACTTTGGGACTTTTATGACCCCTTTAGCTGGGTCCCTGCCGTGTTCCCGGGACAAGGGAATGCTACACTGTGGTTCACTGACTTCACCAAACATCCCGCCTACTATGGGTGCATTGCTGCTTTAAAGAACGCAACAGGTGCTTGCAAACCGAAGAAGAATCGATCGATTCAAGGTCGCTTTAGCCACAAGTTGTACTAATTTCCTATATGAAATTGATAGGCATTCATGTGGCAAGAGACCAAAATTGAACAACATAGCAATAATAGATGAACTTTAATCTACCATTCCATGATGCAACGACCTTTGGGCTCTTTGTTTCTAAGAACATCAAAGGTCGGATCTTCAAGAAAGTCCGTAACGAATACAGCGACTGATGCTTGGGGGTAGCGATATGCATTGGCCATCCCGCGGCTTCTCTACTGTACCTTTGCGGCTTCTTCCACTATCAGCTCTGTTCACACCAGTAGGCTGCCGCTTCGTTTTTCACTGACTCCTCGACACCATCATACATGGTCTCCAACAGGACGTCTCTCTTTGGGATCATCCGTGTCTCCTAATCGTTCATCAGTTCCATCATTCCCGCCCTTTACCAGATCCTGTGCGTTCTATCTTACCGTCACATCATGGTACCAGTCCGTAACCCATACGCCGTTCGATGAATCAAGCATAGAGATGCCCTTGACTAATACCGGTGTTGGCGCGATGAATATCACTGATGCGACGCCTCCCTTGAGGCCTTTGCTAGCTCGCTCAGCGACCGAGTGTCCTTGAAAGGCTTCACTCAGGGGCAGGGCACCCATGCTGTGGCCTACTCCAATCACGGTCCCGCCTTGGTCATGACCGGGAGGATGCTCTCGTGGATGCGCTTCATGTCATCAATGTGAGTCTTTCCGTCTACAGAGTCATCGGACGCTGTGGTCGCAAGCGTAGGCGCCAGCACAGAAAAGCCTCTTGCCTGCAGGTCTTTGATGAGGGAGCGAAAGTGCAAGGGCTGATGCCACGCTCCATGGACAAGCAGAATTACAGGCTTCTCTGGCATTTTGCTTGTGGATGTTAGGTAACTAGTCTATGCGCGGATTTAGACTAAAGACATAAACCTAGGCAGAACCGTTTGTAGGGCTTGAAAATATCCAACTATATATTGCATTCACTGAAAAAATGACTTAGTAAGTGATCGTAAATGCAGTACGACTGGTGTGCCGCGGGCTACCCTTCACTTACCTTACAAAACCAGATCCTTCGGGGCTTGGGTATCTATCAAGATGTCAGTGTTTTACATGACATAATTCCTAATTAGAAACAGAGACATATGGGACCTCTTCAATTGATACAGAATATCAAAGGATGCACAAACTGGGTTTTTCTGGCATGCAAGGTTGAGCATTGTGCATTGTGCGTAGAAGAATTCTTGAGTCTACAGAATCTGGAAATATCGGATGGTGATCCTTGATATGGCACTGCTCGAAGTAAGCGCTAAGTGTACCAGATTTGTAAATCAACTCATCCACTGCATCCACTCTTGATACGACACTACGGCTCCTGTTTCAGTAGACGCGGAACTGCTAAAGTCAGCCTCGGTCACTGGCAAATATTCGTCAATGCAGGAGCTGATCGACTGATACAAATCTTTCAATCGCTTGACTTGAAAAAGCTTCATAAAAATCACATAGCATCGATTGACTGCACTATTCATCTTCAGTTAGCATCATGGGAGGCGTTGAGTCGGTGCCAACCGATCTTTCTCGGAAGGTCCAAGTCATCTCAGCGGGTTACTCGCGCACGGGAACGGTATCGATGTCGTTGGCTTTGGCAAAGCTGGTTGATGGTCCCGTCCTTCATGGAGGCACGCAGATTCTAACGCGCGATGATGGTAAGCATGTTCGAGGCTCAAGATCCACCATATTCAGACAAAGAGACAGACGAGGACTGATGATATCCTAGACTATTGCAGCACTTGGATAAAAGCGTACAAGGCGCGAAACGCAGGGGACAAAGAAGAGACGCTCAAGTGTGTCCGCAAAGCCACCGCTGGTTTTGCGGCCACAGCAGATCTACCACCATCTGACTTCATACCAGAGATGATGGAATTGTATCCGGACGCAAAAGTCGTGCTGGTCCGCCGCGATCCGCAGAAGTGGTGGGACAGCATAGCGGCAGTGACTGGACGTACAACTCCCTGGTGGCTTGGCGTTATCATGGCGCCGATTCCGGGCTGGAGATACCTCACAACATTTGCAAATGAATATAGCCGCTCGACGTTAAAGCTGGCTGGTCTGACCGACGAAACTGCAAGTCCGGTTGAGCTTATCAAGAGAGGAGGTCCACGTAAGGAACCGCGAGTATCTCTGTTCAATGATGACGTCCGCTGACAATGGACCGAGACATCTTGGAGGCACACCATGCTAAAGTGCGCGAGGTTGTTCCACAACATCAGCTATTGGAGATGGAGTTGAACGAAGGCTGGGAACCCTTATGCAAGTTCTTGGGACTTCCTATTCCTCAAGAACCGTTTCCCAAGGCAAATGACGCCAAGGCCGCAGACGATTATGCCACAAAAGTCATTCTTCAAGCCTTTGGGGTCTGGATAGTTCTCTTATCTGGCATAGGAGCTGGAATCTACCTAGTAGCAAGGATATTGGTAGGATTGCTATGATGCTGCACTCAAGCTGTTGGAAGAGGAGCACGAGTACTTCGTTGCAATAGTCCGCTTGGTGTGTTAACCTCATCAAAGACCTGTCGAGCACACTACGTAGATTATATGAAATACCTGGCCTCCGGTAGGATTCGATAGCTGCGCCGAGCGTGTCTTCTTCTATTGTTTCCCATCCACATCAAGATGCTATGCAGGTTGCCAACAGGTGCAAAGTGCAAGCGCCTACCGCCTAACCGAGTGTGTGCTTGCGGCCTGAGTCAGACACCTTCACTCTTGAGGCTTTGGTCCACTAGTTTCGGTAGCATCGCCGAGGTCCTGCCCGCCGTTGTCTGTAGCATCCGGAAAAATTTGAAGAGCCATTTCCAATCTAAAGAGTCCATCTGAAAGAGTCGATGCAATGCGCATACAACATCCATGAGACACAATTCGGTGCGAGACGTGCATGAGCACTTAGCTGCGTCAGTAGTACGTTGGAATGTACGTACCAATCAGCATCATTCGTTGGGCTCTTTCGGCTCCAGCTGACCGTGCACAGCAGTACCACACCTATGTATCCAGTCACTACGAATGTCTGCGTAATTGATGAGACGGTAGTCGCCGAACGCCCTCAATCCAACAAAGCATGACGGTATAGGAAACTCCGCCTAGTATAGACTTCGACTTTGCACTTGTAGCTCGGCGTTTTTGATATACGTGAAATCATACACAAAGAAGGCGAAATAGCACCTGCGACCATCTGATAATAACATCCCAACTCGCCAGTCCAAGCCAAAACCAAACTGCAGACTGAGCATGAAAAAGGTCATGAGTGTTATTTTTGGTGCAATCCTCAACAAGCAGACGGGATGGCCGAGTGGTTAAGGTAAGATACCCCACACACTTTCCAAAAGAAGAAGCACTAACCAGCAACAGGCGATGCCCTGCTAAGGCATTGGGTTCTGCCCGCGTGTGTTCGAATCGCACTCTCGTCGCAAATAACTTTTTTTGCTGGATTTTCTTGCACTTGAGACCTGGCTATTGGAAGATTATTGGAAAAAAATTGATATTTTTTGCACATAATGGAATTTCAGTAAGGACGTGAAGACTGTGCTAACAGATCAGTATGTAAATCACGCAGAAAAATTGTTAGTGTCGGACTCGTTTTTTTTGGGCTTGAAGCACCTCACCATATACCACACTTCCACACAATAGTAGCTGCGGTATGCCTGTGAAAGAATAGCTGCAGCTAAATATCAGCGTATCGAGATGAAGATATGGCTTTCCTTTATCTATGATGCTCAATCACTGATCATCGCATCACCCTCAAAGCAGCTGAGGATAGACTAACATTCTACCGATACATGCCTAACCTATCAAAAGAAAAAAAAGAGCCACGGATTGCACTCAAATACAGAACTATCCTCGGGAATGCGACAAACCCCTAGGCTCCTAACATGTTCTTCCAGTATGTTGAATGGCGGCTATTTCACAGGCAACAAGCAATACCAATGGGTGTGCCTTGACGGTACTGAGACCAGGTCATTAGGTGGCATCTGTGGAAGCCTGCTTCCTCGCGCCTGGGTAATGGTCTAATCCAGACACTACATTGACTATCTTGGCTGCTAGGAGCCATGGATACATGGACGAAAAAGTACATCTAGTTTGATGGTGACTGTCTACATGATAGCGTAGGTGAACTTGCGATTCCTGCCCTGAGTGGTGATCTCAGAAAAGAAGTGAAGGCTTGACTTGTTGATTCTTGTAATTTTTTGACTTTATATAACAGAATTGTAGAACGCTTCTTCCTCTGATCAACGAGGCTACTGTAGCTGATGAAATTGGGTACTGCAGACCTAGTCAGAAGCAGAGACGCCTCTATATTGTGGTACTGGTTGAGAAGATCTCTGCCCGAGATAAGTCATATTCCACAAAACAGATGATTTGCTGATTATAACTGCTCTCCTGTCTCAGCGTGGATGGGGGTAGGCTACTCTCAGGAGGACACCACCCAGTGGTATGATCACAAAGCATTGCGGTTCTAAATCAACGTTCATGCTATTCGACAAATACAGACTCCGAGATGCACGCATCATTCTAGACTCCTACGTGCCCTTGAATCCCACGTTACAGGTATGCGATTTGCTTGTGTAGAGCAAAGGTGACTTTCGTTTGACATTTATTTGATGGAAAGGACTCTGTTACTAGAGGCAGACTCTTGCGTGAGAGTACTAGCGGTAACCTGGTCACATCTTAGTATCAGTCGCTTAAAGAAGCCAACTTTCCGGACAACATAATGGTCATTTAAGAGACCAATCCACATCATCGCAACGATCTGGCAAAGATGAGACCTTGGCAGAAGATTGTTTGGAAATAGGCAGACTTACACAGAATTATAGGCTGTGGGGTTTATATGCTTACAATTATAATCTTCCAAGCAACAACAAATCAAGACGTGTATCATGTTATAGCATCGCCAGTATATGTGATAATTTATCTGTCGAGTTTCATGCAAAACATTTGTTTGTCAGATAGTCGCATTACCTTATCGATATTGCCAGTTCCGCCA